CATTGCTGAGCGAGTACTGGCTGAGGCTGCTCAGCGAGAGGGAGCTGGAGGCAGCGGCCGCCGATGCAGTGGCCATCGTGGAGACATTTTGCTGCTGCCCCTGTTGCTGCTGCTCCCCAGCAGTCTTCGGCGGCAGAAAGGAGGCGTCAAAGGGCAGCGCGTTCGGGTCCAACGCAGGAACAGGGTAGTAGGCGGCGGGCAGAGCCGACTTGCACATGACGAGGAGGAGGGCGTCCCTGGCCACCGGCTGCCCGTACAGGCCGTGGAGGGCAATGAGCGAGCGCAACTGCTCTAGCAGCAGCTCGGTGACCGCCTCGTCGGTGCTCGCGTCCAGCAGCAGTGAGAAGGTGCCCGTCAGGCCGCCAAAGACGGCACCCAGCAGGGCGCAGTGGTGGGCGTGGGTGGCTGGAGGGAGACGGGCCACCGCTGCCAGGCGAGATTTAGTGAAGGAGGCAGCAGCCTCTCGTTGGCCTTGACTGTCCAGCCTTTGCTGCTGCTGCTGCTGATCAGTGCCCAAGTCCGTTTCAATGATGGTCGTCAGCGCGGCCACCAGCTCGAGAATGCAGGCGAGGGCGGTGCTGAGGCCGTGACCTTCCGGGGCCACCGGCGGCTCCGCCTTTTCCAGCTGTTCAATGTAGAAAGTGCGGTAGCGGTGCAGTTTGTGGCGAGGCGTGAAAAGCAGGGAGATGGAGATGCCGCGCAGGCTAAACACGGGAAAGTGCGTAGAGTTTGAAGCTCGAGAAGCCGATCCGGGCAGATTCGGGTGATGATTTCCACCAACAGAATTTCCCCCTCCTCCGCCGACAAAGCCCACCACCGGGTGGTGGTGGCTGCCGCCGTTGGTGTTGTTCACCAGCGAGGCGAGCAGGCTGGTGGTGCTGGTGCTGTCCACTACCTGAAACTGCGACTGGATGTAAATGCAGAGAGCGTTGACGGTGTCGCGGAGGATCTTCGAGCTGTCCGGGCGCATGTCGTAGTGACGACAGGCGGCGGCGACCATCGACGGGCTGATCATGCGGTACAGGGCCTCGAGGGCAATGGACCGCTGCCAGTTGGCCTTGTCCACCTCGAGGGACTTGACCAACAGTGACAGGAAGATCTCACTTTCGGTGACGAGCGAGGAGAAGAAGTGGCGAATGAGGACGGAAACGAGGCGCATCAGGCGGACGGTGACCGGCCAGAAGGGCGACTGGCTCACTTGAAGAGACATCTGGTTGGTCGCGGAAGAGGATGAGGATGAGGATGAGGCATTGGAAGATGAGGCAACAGAAGGCGATGAGGAAGACTGGGCGGAATGGTGAGAAGTGTTGGCATTTGAAGAGGAGGAGGAGGTTGAAGCAGTGGCCGACGACTTGGGCAGTAGTGGACCGAGCAGGGAGAACTGAGCACCGCCGCGCTGTTTGATGTTCGGCGAGAAGAGGCGAATCACCAGCTGGCAAACTTTTTCCTTGAGGAGAAAAGCGAATTCTTCGTGCTGCAAAAAAGAAAAGAAAGTTATTCAATACAAAACACACACCCTTCAAAAATTAGGCATTTACATTATGGAAAACATCGGCGTATTGATCGATGATAAGCTCGAGCAGTTCCAGGCCAAAGGTCTTGGCAATCTCGACTAGACTGTGCTGATCTGCACTACCACCGCCAATACCGCCGGTGCTCAGCCAAAAGGGCGCCTCGCCGTTGATGATCTGAATGAGGTCCTGGAGAAAGTTGAAGGCATCAACGGCGGCGGGCTTCAGCTTCATCGGCCGGTACCGACACTGACTGCTGGTGACCGGCTCAAAGAGGCGCTCCGCCTGCGATTTGCTGGTGGTGGTGGTGGTGGCGGTGGTGTTTGTCGAGCCCGCTTCCGAAGCTTCCGTCGGTGACGATACAGATGAGGAAGAAGAAGCGGATGAAATGGAAGCGCTCTTCTCCTTCTCCCTCTTCTCCTTCTCGGCCTTCTCCTCCGCCTGAACGCGCTCAAAGATGACCGTCACCAGCTGGCGAATGGTGGCAGAGGCGGTGTTGTTCGTCGTCGGATTTTTGGTGTAGTGCAGGCGAAAGCAGAGGGAGATGGTGCGGGCGAGCTGCTCCGCCGCCACCAGTCGATTGGTAGTGAGCAGCAGTGTCACCGTCTGCAGGATCTTCACCTCCTCCACACCGCCCTCCATCAGCGTCCACAGGCAGAGGAGGAGGTTGCCGGCGGCGGCGGAGTTCAGGCACTCGAAGATGACCATCTTCTGCATGGCGTTGATACTGAGCTGCACCATCTTCGGCGCCTTCGTGTCGCAGCCCATGAAGAACGGCTCGAGAATTTGCTGCGACTCGGCGCTGAGGGCGGCGCGTAGGCCCATCGCCGCCAGCATTCGCGGTGAGCTGGCATTGCGGACGCGAATTTGCCCGGTCTCGCAGGCCTGCAAAAAAGAAGCAGAAAAAAGGTTATCGATTTATAAAGTAAATTACATGTAACTTACCTCCTTCACATGAGGGTGCTTCTTCTTCGCCTCCGTGGCCAGCAGATTGTAGTGCTGCAGGAGCTCATCGAGAAAGCGCTTCTCCTGTGAGCTCATCAACTCTTCGCTGGCCATCGAGAGCGCAAATTTGTTGTTGTTCAGTCAAGAAGATGAATGTTGATCACTGTTTCTCTTCTGATCATCCTTTGGAAAAGCCTTCTTAAAACTAGTGGCAGTGATGATCGTTCTTCAGAAACAAACAAACAACTTAATGATAATCTCAAACTGTCAAAAAGTCGCTTGCAGCAGCAAAACTCTGCTGATCAGACGCAGACGATGAACGAGATGATAAGATAAGAACAGCAAAATAAGAAGTGGCACCAGAAGAAGAAGTGTNGTCGCTTGCAGCAGCAAAACTCTGCTGATCAGACGCAGACGATGAACGAGCTGATAAGATAAGAACAGCAAAATAAGAAGTGACACCAGAAGAAGAAGTGTGAAAATAAAGCGAAATGATTTGTTTGCCGTGTTTTATCGATCCAAAATCGCCATCATCACAGTTGTCCAAAATTGCAGAGACGGTTTGAAACCGCCGCCTGTATCTATTTCTCGGGAATTGCACACGGTAGACGAGGAGGAGGATCAATAGAAGGTGAATTGAATAGACCAGTCAGTGTATATCACCAGAGGATCCTTTCCAGCAGCTGCAGATCCTCTCTCTCTCTCTCTTTTCTCTTTTCCCTTTTGATGACGGCGACGATCTGCCAAATAGAAACTGCAGAAAGCTTTTCTGCTGTCGCGGCGGCAGCGTCTTGTTTACGCTGCCAGACACTCTAAGGCAGAGGGAGAGAGAAGGCGGCGCCAGAGTCGCTCACAGAAGACGGTCGCTGCTGGCTAACGGTGGAGTCCATCGTGGACTTTTTATTTTTGTGTTTTCTGTTTATTTTTTGTGTTTGCACATTTGAGTGCTGGTTCTGGTGGTGACACTTTTGTACAAAAGGGCTAAAGAAGATTGTACCCCACAAAGCTGACGAGAAGCTGACAGTTTTCTGTCGCCTTGTCGCCGTCGTCGTTTACTTAGCAAGGTGGGCAAATATTTGAAGAGTGACCAGCGGCGGTGTTTTCATAGAAGAAAGAAGAAATAGAAAAAGAACGGTTTTCTATCATCATCTTTTGTTATCGACTAATCATCGTACGGCGGCAGACCAAAAGCTTCCGGGCGAAAGGCCTCCAGCGAGTCAAGGATCAAGCTCGTCCGGGCCACTTTCTCTGCATTCTCCGGCAGGTGGATCGCCTTCGACTTGGTGATCAGCACAATTTGGGCGCCGCTTTCGATAGCGCCCTCCAGGCCGGTGATCGAGTCCTCGAGCACCAGGACGGCGGCCATATTTTCGGGCTTGCGGGCGAAACGCTCCGCCGCAACAAAGTACGTGTCTGGGGCAGGCTTCTTTCGGGCGACGCCGGCGTCATCCCAGGCGCAGACGGCGTGCTCAAAGTGTTTGGGAAAGAAGTCGCCAAAGTGCTTGATGGCCGCCTGGTAGTAGAGGCCGACTGTGCCACTGGCCACGGCCATGGGAATGCTGTGCTTGTGAAGGTGCTTCACGAGGCGTTCCACGCCGGGCATCAACTGCAGCGGCTGCTTCGGAATGCCGCTCAGGATGGTCCGCTTGAAGGTGGACGGGTCTAGGGTGAGCCCCAGGGTCGAGTTGATCAGCGCGCAGAGGGCATCGAGAGAGACGAGGTTAGGAACGTACTCTATGAGAGGAAAAGGTATGAGTTCCATTTCGAAATTTTAAGATTTCGAAGCCTCNAGGTGGACGGGTCTAGGGTGAGCCCCAGGGTCGAGTTGATCAGCGCGCAGAGGGCATCGAGGGAGACGAGGTTGGGAACGTACTCTATGAGAGGAAAAGGTATTAGATTTTGGGTTCCATTTCGAAATTTTAAGATTTCGAAGCCTTTTACCTCTAATCTCCGGGGTGATGGTCAGGCTGCCGGCGGACGCCTCCTGAATTACCTGGTCCACCAGGAGGATGCAGTGATCCACCGAGTTGATCAGCGTTCCGTCAAAGTCAAAGAGGACGTGGGTGATGGCTGGGGCCATGGCTGTTTCGGAAGAGTTTCTAAAGTAAAATCAGCAGCAGCAGTCAGACGATTGTCAAATGAAAACTAAAAAGTACTTACTAATTAGTAAAACAAAAAGGACCTAAAGTAGCCGCTGAGAAGCTTACGGTGACGCCAAGTTCTCACTCTTTTTCTCTCTCTAAAGTTATCAACGGCAAATCATTATCACCTTTTTACGTTGTTGTTTACGCGGTCAAACTGAGGTGCAAATTGATTACGTCGGCGTCGACGTTGCTGATGTCATTGAAGATATTGTGGTGTTGGTGATGGTGGTGGCGGTGACATCACTTAGGGTACTAAAAGTGGAGGATAATATAAAGAAAGAAAAGAGAAAGTGAATTTACTCAAAAAGCTTGGTCAATTGGTCAACAACAAAACTGTGTTTCATTTGTGCTTCAAACTCTTCTGGTACTCTCTGTCGCCACTGTACCTTTCTGTACGCAGGATGACATTACACAAACGCACAGTTTTAAGATAAAATGGTAATCAGAGAAAAAGTACTGGTGGCACTGATAAGACTGACAAAATTATAGTGGGTGAGGAAGTGAACATCACTGAACTTGCAGTGCAAAAGCTGCTGCTGCTGCTGTGTAATCGATAAAACCGAGGGCAAACACAAAGCGCCGCCTTCAAAGTATAAAAAGTAATCAGCAAATTAACAAAAATCAACACTAGGTTGCTGAGGAAAAAACAGAAAATAGAAAATGGGTAAAAGATGGCTCAACTGGAGCTAAACTGTTGTTGTTGCTTCCCATTAAAATCCAATAAGGCCCTGAGCCTGGGCCAGTTTCTCATTGAGCTGCTCCTCCCAGCACATGTTGAGGTAGTGGCCTCGAACGCGCTCAGAGAGCGGAGCCAGCAGGAGGTTCTTCTCCACGAGGGCCAGGCGGTTGAAAGCTTTGGGCAGGGGCAGCTGGTACCCGCCCAAAACGAGCTTAGTGTCCACATCAGGAAGAAGAAGTTGTGGTTTGGGTGAGACGATCAAAGGCGTCGAAAACTCTTCAGCCTTGTTGACAACGGCAGCGGAAGAGGAAGAAGAGGGTGAAGGCTTTGAAACGACCTTCTCTTTCTTCTTCTTTGAGTCTTCCTCTTCTGAAGCGGCCTTCTTGTACTCGGCTTCAAGGAGGCGCAACTTCTCTTGAAGCTCCTCAATTAGCTCCTCTTCAGCAGAGAAAGACGCCTTGGAATCTTTACTTGAAGACTTCAGCTGCTCTTTTTCCTTGTCCTCTATCTTCTTCTTCTCGTTGACGCCCACATCACCGTCGGCCACCAGCTCATCGACCAGACGGGTGAAGTCGATCACCTCGATGAACTCATCTTCATCCTCTTCCTTCTTCTTCTGCTCCTTTTCCTCATCTTGATGGTTCACCACCCCGCCACCACTCTCCAGCTGCTGCAGATAATCAGACATCATCATATCACTGCTGCTGTTGTTGATGTTCTCGATGTTGAAGCTACTGTTGCTGTGGCTGTTGCTGTTGCTGCTGTGGTGTCCACCAAAGCTGTTCACCGTGGCGGCCATCATTCGCTTCAGCGCCAGCGCCTCCAGCTTCGCCTCGACCTGGCCCAAAAGGGTGGCCACCTTGGCGTTCATCTTGGCGCCCTCACCCTCGATGTCTTCTTTATCGCCATTTGAAGCCGAAGAAGAGGTGGCGGAAAAGGACTTTCCCATGAGCATGCCGTAGTAATGGCGATTGAAGACACTAATCTTGAAGTGATTCAGCCCGGCGCGGCGGTACGCCTCCAACTGCTCAATGTAGGCAATGAGGGAGTGCAGGCGCAGTTTGCCCAACAGCTGAAGACGAACGGCCACGGGGGTGACGAAAAACTGGTTCGGCTCGGGCACGTTCACCACCGGCACGTCCTGCTGGTGCTGGCGGACGGTGGTGGTGGCGGAATGGTTTAAGGAGGTGGTGATACCGCCACCTACGACTTTGTTAGAAGAAGATGGATATTGATGATGGTTACCTCCACGACCTCCTTCTTCTCCTCCTCGATGACGGGAGAAGGTGGTGCAGCCTGAAGCATTGAAGAGGGGTGATTGTGAAGAGGGTAATGGAAAGATCGGCATTTTTGCTAGAAAAGTAAACAACAAAAGAAGAAGAAAGCAGTCTCTAAAATCAAGCAGCGAAAAATAAACTGAATTTCAAAACCAGTGACTTTTCAACCAAATCGCATTAGAGTTCTATTTGAGAGCTAAATGAGTGCTCAATGTTCTAAATGACAACAACCAAAAGCTGTTGATGAACGACACTTCAAGTTTTCGTCACTCTTCTTCACATCATTTTCGTTTCGTCTAATCTACTTTCGCTTCAAACACATAGTTCAGACCTCCCTTCCAAGCGCATACACAAACACACCAACGATATGTCTTCAGCCACCAGTGGTGGA